AAAGAAGGGGGCAGAGCCCCTGTTTCAGATCACCAGTGAAGAGGAAGAAGTGATGAAGAAATTCAGAGAAGTGAAGAAGAAAAGGGGGCAGAACCCCTGTTCCAGATTACCATCGAGGAGGACAAAAGTGCAGGTGAAAGGGTGAAAAGTTTGCAGGAAAATGAAGAAGAAATGAAGGGGATGGAGCCCCTGTTAGATTAAAAAAACATATGCAACAAACGTATGGAAAAGACAAAAAAAACAGGAAGAACCAGCATTTCAGCAACAGTTGGAGTTGAACTGTGTGTGAAACGTACCTGACCTGGCAACTCTCCCTCTTCTATTCAGTTCTGCCATGAAAATAAAACCCTAAAAAGACAACACTCTTCTTCTTATAAAAAGAGTGATAATGTGTGATAGGTTCTATTGTAATAACAAAAACTAACCAATAAAAACTATTTGCAGCAAAAGAAAAGTAAAAAACAATATAAAAATATTAAAGGATCAATGTATTAAGGGATGTATTAATGTGTCTTGCATCTAGTCTAGGCTTGCGCCTTGGAGTTAAGCGCCTACCTAGCCGCCTAGGCGTGCGCCTTGTACAAACTTTGCATGGCGTTTGGGTGAGGCGAAGTTTGAAAACTGCTTAGTCGCCTAGGTGTCACCTTGACAACTATGATTCTTACCTTGCCAATCTTCGTCATCTTCTGTCGTGATAATCTTCTTCCCTGCTTCATATCTTGTCACCAACCACACCCATTTGTCTGACGAACTATCCAAAGCCAAAACTTTCTTTTTGCCTTTTTTTTCTACTCCTTAGATTCAAACCCAGGACAAGTTTTCCAAATATACATCTCGTTATCTCATCTATTTGTGCCGGTTGGGCTTCTTAAAGTCCTGATTGAGATTTTTCAAACGGTGAACCCCACCACTAGTTTCTCTCGACTGACCACCACCTGTCTCCTTATACTCCTCCAGATGGACCACATCCGCCCTTCCACAGTTCCACCTAGATTCGAGTTGGCCACATAACCAACATTTGAGTCCTCCATCACTACCTCATTCTTTTCTTCTTCCTCTTCTCCCTTAGACTGCCTCTTCGACTCCCTCTCCTCTCATGCCTCCTCCTTTTGTTGCCTGAGGTCTTTGTTCCTGAACCCACCCCATCTCCCTTCTTCCCTTCCCTCTTCTACCTTCTATTTTTTCATCATTTCCTCCCTTTCCCCAAAAAATCTAATCCTCCCCTTCTACTATCAATTATAACAGATATCTTTCTCCTGCGAACGTTAGACTCATATACTATGAGGGATAACAGAGGTATCCGCTACCTCGATTGATATCCTTGCCATGTTTAGCTTCTCCCAACATTGGCTTTTGTCGTCGTATTTCGAAAATATACCTTACCTATTTCCCATCCCTTCAAAAGTTAATATACTCCACACATGCAACAGTATTTCTGACGACCCCAATCCAAACTGCCCATCTCCTATCTCTAGACACATTGCCTGTCTCTAGGAACCACCAGTCAAGTCGTAGGTTCAAGCTTTTCTTCCTTGTGCTCTCATACTCCAATACCCACTTTGCTGCTTGCCTGCTACGAAACATAAAGGGTAATAATTAAATATAGAAATAAGAGGTCATGGATTCGAGTCTTACTAAACACATTTGACTCATCAAAAAACATAAAGAGTAACAACTCCCTGTTCAGCTTTCTCACTCCCATAATACTCTTTTCCCCATTCTACACCTGCCCAGACTTCAATCTTCTTGACCTCCATCTCTCCTCCAACTATCCTTTCTACCAAGGTAGCGTACAACACTTTCATCCTTTCCTGTAGCTTGTTTCTAATTTTCTCTCCACTACTGTCCTTTGACTCCAAATTGGGATTTTGGTTTCATCCTTTCCTGTAGCTTGCTTCCTTCTTTAAGTTCCTTGGGCTTTCCCTGTTAAGGAAGTTTGGACTAGGCCTGTTCCCCCTAAAATTACTGTTTTTTGTTGGGAATTGTTTCATGGGAAAATTAATACTTTGGACAGTTTGCAGAAGGAAAGGCCTTTCTTGTGCTTATCCCCAAACTGGTGTATTATTTGCAAATCTAATGGTGAGCACTATTACCATTTACCAATATCCCGCCTTTTTTCTATAGCTATTAGGAATTGGATTTTTTCCTTGTTTGGGTGCGGGTGGACTCTACCAGTTGTTTGTTTGCTATAGCTGTTTGCTTTGTCTTTGTTTGACCCACAAAAAGAGGGAGAATTATGTGGAAATGTATTAGAGCTGTCTCTCTTTGGACAATTTGGGAAGAAAGGAATGGCGGAATTTTTCAAGAAAATGAAAGGAGCTTTTCAGAAGTCAAGGATTGTATTATAACAAGGGCATACACTGGTTGAAAACACTACTTATTCCACTTTTTCTTTTGATGCTCTTTGGAGGAGTTGGTCAACTGTGGCATATAACTCCTCTTGTATTGAAGGGCTACTGTTTCTTAGGCTCCTCCCCTTGAAGGTTTTGACAAGCTGAATTTCGATGGTAGTCAGGGTAACCTAGGCCTGTTTGGTATAAGAGTTTTGAGAGACAAGGACAGCAATATTGTAGCCTTGCTGCCTTATTCTCTGGCTCAGTGGGAATATGTCGGCCTGTCAATACCTGAAAATCCGAGGCTTGATCCGATTATCTCGGATTCGGATGATGTTTTTATGTATATTTAACTTTTTAATAAATTTATAATAAATTCAATATGTATATTTACATTAATTTATTATATATAAAAGTTGAAAAGTAATTAACTTTTTAATTTTTTTTGTATTTTAAGAAAATTAAAGCGGAGTGGATTAAACCCGAATCCAATCTGAGTCCGTTGAGATTTGAATTTGAGTCCGAGGTCTTCAAATCCGATCAGATTCAGATGCAAGCTTTTCATAATTGGATCGGAGTTGGATTTTGCTGAATCCAATCCGATTACAGCCCTAGGAATAGAAGATTCTAATAGGGCTGAACTACTAGCTTCTATACAAGGGATTCCGATTGCAAATCATCTCAATGTGGAGAGGTTACAAATTGAAGGAGACTCCAAGGTGGTTGTGGGGTGGTTGATAGCTTTGGATTCGGTCATTTGGTGCTACAGGGATCTCTTAAAGAAAGTTAATTGGTTAACAAGGGATATGACTATTACCGATTAAAAAAAAAAAAAAAAACAAGGGACATGACTATTAATTTACATTGGGTGGGCAGATAGACAAATGGAATGGCTGATTATCTTGCAAAACTAGGGGTAAACAAGGAACATCTCTACTGGGATGCATTGTAATCTTGTTTTATTTCTATTTTTCACTCAGTCGTTGATGTTATAATCACGTTTAAGCCTTTATGGGTGAGGTTTCACCTTACACCTCTCTCTGGGATGCTTGTATCAGTTTCTATACTTTGCTAATGAAATCATTTTTCAATTACAAAAAAAAGTCTCTTGATCTTATCTATTGTTTTCATATAGTTGCTTGTTATTGTTTTTTTTAGCCTTAAATGTGCAAATATACTTCTTCTAGTGTTTCCTATAAGGTTTATTAACGAAATCAGTGTTTTTAGAAAATTTCCTTGGGTTTTAAGACTTTCTAAATATCTTAGTGAATTAGCAAAATATCCCCAAAATTTATTCATTTCTCCATTGATATCGAAATTTCCGAACCATGATTATAAGAGATGGTGGCTTTTACACTTAGACATTACCATTTTGCTGATATGTGTGGACATATACACCTTGCTCATAAAAAAATGCAGGGGAATAATGAATACAAATATTCTTTATCATTATCAGATTGAAATTCACATATGTTAGATCCAACTTGAGTCTTAATTTATCAAAGAAGATTTAAAGGTTGTAAACAATCAAACTTGTCCTTTATGTATAACCAAGTTGTTCTGAAATAACCTTAAGCAAATGTAACAAATTATCTAAAACCCAAATAAGATACAATTGGATATGTGCTTCAAACATAAAAAATGAATAAGCTAAAAGAGACAAGACATGCTACTAGTGACATGCGGTGGAAAAGACACATTATGGTGCTTACTAAGTTGCTAGGCTTTGCATTTAAGAGATGGCATCGATCTAAAAGATAGAGAATCTGTACCTATATACCATGATCTAGTGCTTCTTCATTTCCAGGTCAAATCCAGTACAACAAATGCTACATCAGAAATCAAATCTGATAGACATCTGACCTTATTTAGATTATTGGCAAGCATAGAAAGACATTTTACAGTGAGATGAATATGCTTATTAATGACTTATGAGATCACAAGTCTGATTAAATTCCTATTAATGCTGCCATGACATTGTTTTTAGATATCTGATATTGTCTTAGAGTTACTGTAAATGGTTAATTTCAACAGATAGCTAAAGGATCTATATAACCTAGGAATCCTATATTTAGTGGCTTTCGTGGTGACTTGGAACGATTAATGTGTTCTTCATGTCACCATATCCACATGTAGCAAGCTTCAGCACATGTGGATATGGTTGGAACGATTAATGTGTTCTGAACTTTCGTTAACAGAAAAGAATGAAATTTTGAGGTTGGACCTTAATATTGGAAGAGTTATAACAAGGTGGAGTATAAAACTGACATTGATGAGAAAGTGAAGATATGGCTAGTGCATAGGTGGTTATTTGATGGATAGGCAGGTTTTGCAATGTCATCCATGTACAATTGTACATAGGTCAGAAAGGGGGGGGGCATGTAGTCTAGTTAAAGGAATATGGATGGCCCATCGAGGAAAACCTTTCCCCATTGCCAATTTACCCTTCTATGTCCTGTATGTTAGTTGTGGTCCTGTACCTTTTTTACCCGTGTTTCCCTTTCTTGCCTGAATAGATTTTATATCTATTCAATTATCATCTTCATTGCAGTTCTATGTTTGAGTTGTGCATGTATTGTTTTCACCACTTTATCAAATTTTTATTGCTGAATTACCACTAATTTCAGTTGATGCCTTGTCTGCTTATATTATCTATCTACGTTTTAGGGAGCTGGAGATATTAGAGGGCTCTCGTTGCTTCAATTGTGGTTCCTACAGCCATTCTTTGAAGGACTGCCCAAAGCCCCGTGATAATGCCGCTGTTGAAAATGCTCGGAAACAGCACAACTCCAAACGGAACCAAACAGCTGGTCCTCGTAATGCAACTCGGTACTATCAGGATTCTCCTGGTGGAAAGTATGACGGTATAAAGCCAGGTGCTCTTGGTCCTGAAACAAGAAAAGAATTGGGTCTTGGGGTAAGATAATTTAGTTAGACAAAAAACTTCTCATTCTTTACTCTCTTACATCTTCAGTACACATGCACAAACAATCTGTGTGCCTCATAATTTGTAACACAATAGTTGCCTGGGTGGTAGTGAGGTGCTAATGGTCTAGGTTGGGACGTCATTATTGGCTTTAGTATATATTTGGATGAATCATGCCTAAAAATGTAAATCCAATGGGCCCTTATATATGTTTTGATGACTGAGAATGGTGGCTCTTCAAGTCAGAACTGGCTTGATCCTTGGCAAGTGTACCATTTTAATTTTCTTATGGGAAAGTAAGAACCCCACATCATATTTTAAAATTTTATGTAATCTTTTTGAAAGCTAAAGCATTTGTATTCAATAAAACAGAAGTATAAGAAATTCTATGAATATAGAAGAAATACAATCCAGCAATAAGCCTGATTTTAGAGAAGAAAAAATAGAGGAAGAAGATGTTCAGGAGAAAGAGAAATAAAGTGGAAGAAAAAGGGAGGCCCATAAAGAAGGCCCACTACAACTGAAATAAAGCTGTTGAATTAATAAATGAAACTTAGGCTCATTCAGCTCAATCTCTCTACACTCCCTCTCAAGATGAGCATAGATGTCAATCATGCCTAGCTTGCTTACATAGTGTTGGAGCTTCGCCTCAGGAACTCCCTTGGTCAAGATATCTATTAATTGTCCCTTTGAAGAAATGAAAGGAAGAGACACTTCCCCTTAAGGCCACTCTCTTTCGTATGAAGTGTTTGTCTACCTCAATGTGCTTAGTTCTGCCATTCTGAACTAGGTTATGAGCATTGTTAATGGCAGCTTGATTGTCACAATACAACCTTAGTGGCTTATCATAAGCAATACCCATCTCTTCTAGGAGAGATCTAAGCCATTACAACTCTTAAACCCCATGGGCCATAGCCCTATTCTTTGCCTCAACTAAAGATTGAGCAACCATAGTCTGCTTCTCCCTCTAGGAGACATCCTTCTTAAAATATTCCTTAGCATTGTTAGATTGGAATATTTTGATTCGGGTGTCAAATTAGGTAAAACACAAATTCATGAAACTGTTGAACAAGTTTGGGTACTGCAGCACGAGAACACATAAGCTAAAGCTAGGTATAGTGGGAAAAATCATCAATAAACATAGTAAAATATTTGTAGCTTCCCATGCAAGGTAAATGGTAAGGCCCCTACACATTAGTGTGAACAATGTTAAATGGAAACACAAATCTTTTATAACTTGGAGGATAAGAGTTTCTACAATGCTTTGAAGACTCACAGGACTCACAATGTAGACTCAATTTGATTCCTTAAAACAATGTAGGAAACAAAAGCTTTAATGAAGAAGGAAGGATGAAGAAAGCTAGAGGTTTCAGATGGAGAACAGGTTTTTAGAAGCTGCAAAATGGAGGAAAGAGATAAAGATTGAAGCAAAAGTTTTCATTCTTGAAGAGATAAGGATTAGAGGCCAGCAGAGCTTGAAGATTAGGGAGGCAAAGAGAGCTACAATATTGCTGGAAGGTCTTGAAGTAATAGAATGGATGCAGAAGTTTATTTCAGAAGCAAGTTATAAAGGTAAACAAATGAACTTTACGAAGTTCAACCTTGATGGAAGGAAGAGGTATGAGTTGGAATGCAAAAAGAAGGCAAAAGGTTGTTACATAACTCGGCAGGAATTCTTTGGGGGAAGAAAGAAGCAGGTGGTCTGTTTCCCAGAAAGTAGAAGGGGTAATGGCTGGAAGGCTGTGGCACAAGTACTCAGTGACTTCATTTAGCAGCTGAAACAAAACAAGTAGAGGATGTAGCAAAGGAAAAGAAAAGGGGTATGCAAAAGAGAGAGGAAGATTCCAGTGACAGAAACTGGTTGATTGCAGAAAAAGGAAAAAGAAGCTGCAAACTTGTAGCATTAGTAGAAGAGAAGAACTGGGGGAATAAATTCGTGGTGGAAACTTCAAGTCCACCAAAGGATTGGGGAGGTATTGCACAGGCGATACTCAGAGTTAAACCTGCAAAAACCGATGGTGATAACTCCTTATGCCTCTTGTAAAGCCTTGTTAGATATGGGTGAAGATGAAGTAGAGATTTCAGCTCTAGTTATTCACTCAGAGGCTGGTGCTGCCACAGTCTCGAAATGGTGTCCTCTTTCCAATACCAAAAGTTTATTGATTGAGGACAATGTAACAGTTAGATTGCTTGAGTTACTTTTCAACCTCTGGAAGGAGGAAGTGTTACAGTCCATAGCTGTAGTCTGTGATGCAAGATTAGATGGTGTGTTTGGTTGTGATCTCCATTCAATAGTAGTGTTGTTAAGTGGTGTTAAACCCAGTGACATTCCAAGGAAGATAGAGGTTGTTTCAGATGGTTTAGTTTACCCTGTTTGGCTTACTACCTCCATTGAAGCCCAGCTATGGAAGGAGGGTAGAAGGGAGGAAGATGAAGGGGCAGAACAGGCTTGGTTGCATGGTTTGCAAGGCAAAGTAGTCTCTACAAGAGAAACTAAGACAACTGAGGTCCCCAAGAAAAAAGAGGATGATTTAAACACTTGGGGAAAGTCTGCATGGCAGGGTGGGCTGAGGGATGGCAGGTCCTATGTTCAGTCGGTGACAAGGGAATTAATTGGAGACAGGCTTGCTCCAGTTCAAATTTCAAAACAAATTGAACAAGGGTTGGCAAGGTTTCAGGGCTCGAGCCTCGAGCCAGTCCTGTGAGCCGGTTCAGTCTGGTTCAATGAACCAAGGCCAGTCATATGTTTTCTTAAGTAAACACGTGACTGGCATGGGGATAGAGGGGTTGGGCTCAGGCCCATCAAGATATAATGGGTCTGGTGAAGTAAATGGGCTGGTTAACTTAAATCGGGTGGACCCAGAATTTAAAAAGCCACGCGCCCTTTTAAGTGGGCACGTGACCAAAGAAGCTAGCAAGGGGACGGGTTGGGCCTAGGCCCATCAAGATCTAGTGGGTCTAATAAAGAGAATGGGCCGGTTACTGTAAATCGGGTGGACCCAGAACTTAAAAAGTCACGCGCCCTTTTAAGTGGGCATGTGACCAAAGGAGTTGGGGAGATGATGGACCGAAAATTTGGTCTATCATCGTCTCCCTCGAGCCATTCGCAACCAGCGCTTGCAGGAAGTAGGGTTCGCTGCAATGGTGCGGCAAACATGAATTGGGCATGGGTCCCAAGCTTGAAGAAAAAGGGCATCTCTTCGGAACGGCACAATCCGAGGTTCAAGAAGCCTCATTCGACGATAGTGGAGACAGGGTTCTCCATCATTCTGGCGACAGGAAACCAGAATACCATGGATGCTTTTGAGGACTGTGAGACGGAGGAAGGAAGCAGCTCAGATTCAGAGTCTGAAGGCTCTTCAAGTATTGGAAGTGTAGAATTGAAGAAAGCCAAACCTCTCAGCGACAATGAGAGCCTACATACTGAGCTGCTGTTTTTGGAAAACGAAGATTCGATTTGAAAAGATTCAGTTCAAGAAAAGTTCACTCAACCCTCCCCCTTACCTAAGGAAGTGGGGTCTCCCGTAGCTTTTATAGAGGAGAGGCAAATGTTACCGACTCCTAATTTTGCTCCCAGTTCGCTAGAGCAGCAAGGCATTGATAGAAGACTAGAGGAACAGGACATACCTCAGTCACCTTACACAGAGGTATCAATTTGGGGACAACATCTAAAGGCAGATTCTAATGCAAGGACTAAAACAATATTGGTTGAACATAACGGGGACCCACAATCACCTCTTTTGGAAGGAATAGACGCGACCTTGCCCCTTTGTTTTGCTTCTCGAGATCCATTGGCCTCTTCCCACAACTTGTCAGGTAATATTGTCAATTGGTTTTTTGGTACTGATATGGGTTTTCTGCCTGGAACAGGTACTTTTGTAGCTCAACTTGATTCAGCAGCCATGGATGGAAAATATTTAATTGGGGATAAGGAGGGTCAAGAACGAGAAGAAGTGGAAAGGGGAAGGAAATTACAGGAAGAGGAGTTAGAGAAGATCTGGGATCAGATCTGTAGGTTTTCGGAGGAGTATAAGAGAAAGGAGGAAGAGATAGGGCAGGTTTGGGTTCAAGAAGGTTCAGTAAAAACAGGGGCTCAAAGTAGCAAAAAATTTGGGGATGAATCAGTTATGGGAAAGAAGCAAGAGGAGGAGGAACTAGAGAGGATTTGGGGACAGATTTGTGCCCTCCTTGAGGAGTATAGGCAAACAAAGGAATTTGTGGAGGAAAGCCAAGGACTTCCGGAAAGGCAAAATAAAACAAAAGCAGCATTAAGTAGAGCTGGAACAATTAACAACCGAAGGAAGAAGAAAAGATCAGAGGTGGAAAGGTTGATATTAGATATAGAAGAAAATTTGGAGTTTAGCGGAAGAGGGGAGAGAAGGAAAGCCTCCAAGTAGGGGCTTGACCTCAAGAGGGGATGCCAAATCTTTTATATCCATGAAAATCATCATTTGGAATGTAAGGGGGTTGGGGAGTGCTAGGAAAAGAAGGCTAATTAAGGACCTCCTGAGAAGGGAAAGGCCGGATATAGTGATGCTATAGGAGACTAAACTAGCCGATATTGATAGAAGTTGGGCAAGAAGTATTTGGAAATCTAGAGGAATGAACTAGGTGTCAGCACTTGGGGGGCCTCAGGGGGAATTGTTACTTTTTGGAGAGAGGATGCTGTGGAGTAGCTAGTAGGAAAATTTTCAGTGTCGTTAAAATTCAGGATGGTAGAGGATGGATTTACTTGGGCACTAACTAATGTGTATGGACCAAGCAATTACAGAGAGAGGAATGATTTTTGGGAAGAACTTTATGGGATACAAGGGCTTCGGGTTGGTCCGTGGTGCTTGGAGGGAGACTTCAATGTAATCCGATTTATGAATGAATCAAATAATCCCCAACAAGTCATCACAACCAGCATGCGGAGATTCAATGATTTTATTAATAACTGTGAATTAAAAGCCCAACTTTCAGGAGACTCTAACCTGCTCCAGATTAGATAG